TATATATATATATATATATATATATATATATATGCATATACACACACATATATTAATATGTATACACACACATATATTAATAATATATATTAATATTAATATATATTATTGTCATTCATTATAACGAATAACAGAAGAGGACCTTGGAGATGCCCCATCCACATGGTCGCCATGAATTGAGATTGACTTAAAGGTGGTTAACAGCAACAATAACAAAAAAATGAATAACAATAATGAATATAAATGAATACGAATGAATCATGAATAACAATAATGAATAACAACATGAATAAAAATAATGAATAATGATAATGAATATAGAGATGAGTAGTAGTAAGGAATAATAGCAATGAACATGAATAACAATAACAATAATAACAATAATAACAACAATAATAAACATAATAAAGAATAATAATAATGAACATGAAGAATAATAATGAATGACAATAATAAAGATAATAATGAATAATAATAAACATGAATAATGAATAACAGTAAAGAACATGAATAACAACAAGAGGAATAAACAATAATAATGATGATAATGAACATGAATAATAAGAATAAACATAATAAAAATGAATAATGAACATGAATAATGAAAATGAATAATAATGAACATGAATAATGGAAATGAATAATAAAGAACATGAATAATAATGAATAACAAGAATAAACATATTAATAATTAATAATAATGAACATGAATAATAATGAATAACAAAAATAAACATAATAATAATTAATAATGATAATGAACCTGAATAACAATAAGAATAAACATAATAATTAATAATAATGAAAATGAATAATGATAATGAATAACAAGAATAAACATAACAATGATGATGAATAAGAATTATAAACATAATAATGAATAAGACTAATGAACTTGAATAGTAGTAATGAATAGCAATAAGGAACATAGATGAATAATAAGGAATGATATTTAATAACAATAGTAATGAATGCAAATGAATATAAGTCAACAACAACAAGGATGATGAGGACGATGATGATCCAATCCTCATAGCAACCCATTGCTCCATTGAGAACTCCCAGGCTCCTCCCTCCTTCCCCAACGTTCCACACCCCGCTTTTCCTGCTCTCTCATTGGCCCGGCGATTCGGGGCGTTCCCCCCTCCGGGCCAATCCCTGAGCTCCCCCGTGTGACGTAGAGGCGGAGAGCCTGGCCGCCCGCGAAGGTTTGAAATTGGCTTCGGAGGCGGCGCTGAGGAGCGGCTCTTCAACCGAAGCAGGCCCTTCTTCCTTCCTTCCTTCCTTCGCTGGGGCGCGGCCATGGAGCAGGAGGAGGCCCAGGCC